ACAAAACGTTCACACTGTGGTGCTGTGGTGCGAACTACTTATAAGTAGTATATAACGTGAGTGTCAACGTAAAGTCTGGCAGCAGAAGATGGGGGGAAGATCAAGAAAGGAAGAGTTAGAAAACAATGGAATTTGTATGAAACGCACGAATAGTGACAATGGATTGATGTTTTGCAACAGGAACAGTCCAGTTCGATATGATGAACTGATATTTTGCAAATTAACGATTTACGATATGGTTTTCCGATTTTACTGAGTAACTCTGTAATTTCCGTTAAATACAATTCGGTTACCCCACCTGTGTTCTCTTTCACTACATTTGGTGTCGCTGCCTGCTCGGAGGAAGGGGCTGCCGTGGCCGAAGGAGTTGCAGGATGGAGATTGGCGGAGCTTCCTGGAGGAGTTTGGGGCCACGGTGGCGCTGGTGGGGGCCTGGGGCGGAGTTGACGGTGCTGGGGACGCTGCGGGGAGGTGAGGCGGAGGCGGCACACGACAGCCTGGACGGTACCACCGAGGAGACGGCGTGGGAGACGGTCACCGGGCAGCTGATAATGGAGTTCGACAGCCCAGCGGACAGGGAGGAGGCGCCGCAGAGATTCCGGTTGGCGCGGCTGTCGGCCGATGGTGACCTGTTGGTGCTTGCTGTGGAGCTCACCGGATTGCGCCGTGAGGAGTGGACGGGGCACAGTCTTTGGCGTCGCAATTTATCGAGTGTGTGCCTGCCGCCGTGTTCCAGCATCGGGAACTTGTGAACGCTACACGTTGGATAGATGCCGTATCCATTCCAGACCAGTGATCAAGAACGATGACCGAAGTGGTAATCCGGCATATTGTAGCGTGTCACGGAATACGGAAGGTGATATTAACTGACCAGGGGCTCTGTTTTGAAGGACTACGACGACAGCTTATTAAAAGGGGGGACGAGTGTGGTGCTGTGGTGCGAACTACTTATAAGTAGTATATAACGTGAGTGTCAACGTAAAGTCTGGTAGCATAATATGGGGGGAAGATCAAGAAAGGAAGAGTTAGAAAACAATGGAATTTGTATCAAACGCATGAATAGTGACAATGGATTGATGTTTGGCAACAGGAACAGTCCAGTTCCATAGGATGAACTGATCTTTTGCAAATGAAAGATTTACGATATGGTTTTACGATTTTACTGAGTAACTGTAATTTTTCGTTAAATACAATTCGGTTACCCCGCCTGTGTTCTCATTCACTACAACGCTATTAATAAACACCACGCATAATTCAACATTTCTCAAAGTCTATAGGAAAATATTTTATATATTTAATCAATAGTCAATGTAGAAAGTTAACAGCTGAACAAGGAAACAAATAGTTAAACTTGCCTCCTGGACAAACTTTATTCATTATAACTGTACAAGGTGGACACTTTGATTCCATATGACAATTGTGTTTAACTGGATGATCACAACTATGATTGAGACTACAAGGTTGATTACATTCAGGTGCACTAGATCCACATGGCTGTGGTGGATGTAGAACAGTGTAGCCACAACGGCATACTAGTTCTGTATAAATTACACCACGCCAGCAAGAATTACAAGGGCCTGGATGACATTGTTCTTCACAATAATGTAATTGGCAAGATAATCGACGGCCACAAATTTTAGAGCATGAGTGTGTAATATCCTAAAATTCACCAGAAAAACCAATGGATAGAAACAATTGAAATGATAATGTTTTGAGATTATCTAACGTGTACACACGTCGTTAGTTGATATCCTTGCAATGGGGATAACTAAGTTTCGTTATAATCTTCTGTTATAATGTGCGGTGTCCCAGATTTGAGCGTACTATATATATTATATATATTAAGGCCCCGGAAAGGCTACTTAAGCGGGAAGGCAAGAGCGGAAGAGAAAGTCTATCTGGCCACCAAATAGTATGAACAAATACTTGTCTAAACCATAGAAAAGAAATCCATTTCTCGACCGATAATATGTATTCATCCTTGACGACATTTTTTGGTAACCATCAAACGTTCTTCTTACTTGGCAGCTTCTGAATAGCTCATTACATCATGAAAATGATTATTAATACACGGGTATTGAGTGCCAAATAAAAAGATAAGGGTAAAATAGTAAGGAAGTTCTAACCATTTAACCAAATGTCACTAATTGGATGACCGGCGAACACACGAAACTGAATCATCCGGCTTCACAATCTGAGATGTTATCTTTGAGGTATTCTAGCTTCAGCTGGCGACTGAGCCACTTTCAACCACCTAATATATATATGATATATAGCCCACACTTTGTCAAATAGCTCAAACAACAATGTTACGTAATCGACAGAACTGGATCATCATTAAAGCTAGTCACTACTCGGTGATCAATCGGTGCAAATGACTCTTTTTTATAGGCCAATCATGACCTAAATAACTCTTTGAAAATGTAAGAGTGTGGAATTAGATGACCTGGGTTCGGATCTTTTAAAAACCATTAGATCCTCCAAGACACCGTGTACCAATTTGCTGACAAGTGCCAACTAGTACGGAATCAAGGTTAAGTATGTTCAAGTAGCTGATATTAAAACTATGGTGTACGCAATATTGAGTAACTTAGATTAGTGGTTACATTGCTATTTGGTAGATGGAATGAGATTAGAACGAAGGAAAATACACGACATTGAGCATTACTCAGTGATCACTAAATAGTTATTATAATAACGTGAAAAATGTCAAATATCAACCATAATTTAAAACTTACATTACAACACAAAGTTTTACATGTATGTCGACCACAATTTAGTTTCTTCTTACATACGCGTTGACAAAAGAGTTCAGGAACACCTAGAAAAGTTCAACGATATATTTCATTAAAATGACTTCGGAAGAAACAAAACATAAAATCGATTATTGCATAATTTTAAGCACATAAAACGCATCTGTTAATTGATTTGAAACTCCAGTAATTTCGTTCTATTGAAGCTGATATCAATGTTTTTTTTCAAAAACACGTGACTGTAAAAACCGACTGAAAATATAAGATGATAAAAAAACAATAATTAACCGTGTATTTTGATCAAATCGTTGCATAAAACGAGCAAAACATTACGTACCATCTACCCGACTTTTTTCAATAGCTTATTTTTGTAAAACATTACACAAACCAGATATTAACATCTAGCTTTACAACTATGCTCAAGTGGACAATCGTAAAAAACATGAATGTCTTTAAATTAGGTACAGCCAACCAGCCAGCAACAACGTAGAACTAAGTACATACGTACGTACATCATTTCAAGCTGCCGTACTACATTAGCACAGAAACGCAATTGTCAATTTAAATCCCATAATAGTAGAGGTAATCGGAGAGATTAGGGTTCGAATACGTTATTCGAGAAGTAAAATCTAATGAAATAAACTTAAAAGAAAAACGATTTTCAGCAATGTCATTCAAGGTCTCTAACCAACGATCACTTTCATCTCACGGACCCCAACCAAGCAGTCGACACCTACCACCATGACTCAGTTCACTTATCAGTGACTTCATGGATTTCTGTCATGTTTTCGTTTAGCCGACCCTAGCTTTCTTCCAACCTACTTCTACACCACAAAACATAACTCGTCCAGGCAGTCGATGGCTGGGCAGACGTAAAACATGTCTCAACCATCTCAACTGATGAAGTCTCAATACTTCATCTATTGACCTTTCATCCTTACCTAATACCCGATTCCTGACTATAGCATTGCTTACTCGGTTGTCCCATGATACACGAGCGATGCTTCGGAGACACCTATGATTGAAAACAAGTAACCTACGGATATCTTCTACTCTCACAGGCCACGTTTCACAGCCATAAAGTAGGACGGAGCGAACCACTGCGCAGTACGCTCGCCCTTTGGTTAGCGAACGGATATCTCGCCTACGACATAAGTGACACAAGTTGGGAAAAGCCAAAACAGCCTTCTGAATTCGTGCTGGCATTTCGTCAGTTGCCAGGCCATTAGCACTGATGAGACTCCCAAGCGGTCAACACGCTCAACTGCTTTACTCCCTATCACTTGTTCAGGTGCCGAGGTAGGCCAGTCTTGAAGCAACATTTCGCATGTCAAGAGAGAAAACCGCATCCCGAACACACTTGCATTGTTGCTTAGGGTGATCAGAAGGTTCTGCATTCTCTCTGGTATAGCAACCTAAAGTAATGTACGTACGAACCGAGTTCTACATCGCTGCTGATTGACTAACTGTGTCATTAAAGATCAGTCGAAATGGGGATCCAGTAGTCCCCAGATGCTGTTTGAGGCAAGACGTATATTTTCTGTTTGACCACATGACTAGGTCGTGTATGCTATCAGTGAGTCTAAAACCATGGTTAGAAGCAACAGTTCAGTGTTGTAACTGCTTCATAACAGCTGGTTTCAATAACTAAAGAGAACTACTTTCAAAATGAAGTGAGATATGACTACTAAAAACTACATTGAAATAATTGATGAAAACGAACACGAATAATTACAGAAATATTAAAATATAAGTAAATTTTACTTTAATAAAAAGTCAACTTTGAAAATGTCTCTTACTACTTAGAGTAGAGAACACAATGAATTACCTTGTTTATCTGATAATTGAGAGAACTCTTGACAAGTGATTACTTTTGAACTTTGTCCACAACGGCATTTTAATGATATAGACAATTCACAAGGTGGACAAGGACCAATATGACAATATTCTGAACATTTATGACCGCATAATGATCTAGGACGTCCACAGACATTAGGACAAGTAGGTAAAGCATCAGTACACGATTGTCGATTGCCGTATAGGCAACCTGTAGACACCTGTAAAAAATAATAAATGCAAAAAAACGACTCATATTTTCTATAAATAAATCACTATTATGTATAAATATGTTACAACAACCGTCGTAACTGGAACGAGTTTCGAAAGTCAGACGCCCTAACCACCAAGCTTCAACTCCGCCAACCAACCAATCAAATTTTATTAATCAAACTGACAAATGAATCATAATTTTAGGGTCATTGAAGCACTATAATTGTGGTGCGAGCTACTTATAAGTAGTATATGACGTGAGTGTCAACGTAAAGTCTGGCAGCATAATATGGGGGAAGATCAAGAAAGGAAGAGTTAGAAAACAATGGAATTTGTATGAAACGCATGAACAGTGACAATGGATTGATGTTTTGCAACAGGAACAGTCCAGTTCGATATGATGGATTGATATTTTGCAAATTAACGATTTACGATATGGTTTTCCGATTTTACTGAGTAACTCTGTAATTTACGTTAAATACAATTCGGTTGCCCTCACCGGTGTTCTCCTACACTACATAATAAATGTACAGTAAATAAACATCAAGCAATCAAATCATATCAGTATAAACTAACCAGTTTGCTAAGTGGTGTTTTGCCACACGGACAAGTAAAACACCATTTTGGATCAAGTGCACATGGTGAACATTCTCCAGAATGACAAACATTTGAACATTTATGATTGTTACAACTTAATTGACGATCACAAATACGATTACATGAAAAAGTAGGACCAATTTGAATCGAAAGTAAATTAGATGAAACAAGCCAGTCATTATTATTATTATTATGATCGTCAACTACTCCAGCTGAATCAGCATTACTACTTTCATGATTCAATGATTGACAGGATAGATTGTTGTTGAAATCACTTTCAGAATGTAATGCTGATTGATCATTGACAATGGATAATTGTTGCAATTTTAAAATATTCAAATAATTGTTATTTGTTAATTGACGCTGGAATTCCATGAAAGCTGTGTGTAAAATTTGTAAATCTTTTGAAGTAAAAGTACATTTTTTAATTGTATCACTGCCACAAATTAACTTGACATTATTATCTCGACCACAGAAACAAGCTGCAGTAACAAACAAACAAACAAAAAAAATAATAAATCAAATACAACGATAAAAAAACCTAATTCAAATTAAGTCCTTACAGGTTTACAAGTATACATTGAATATCATGAGGGGAATACTGAATACAAAATATGTCAGTCAGTCAGTTACAACATAGAACTTTGTACGTACGTACATCAGTTCAGGTTGTTGCCATATACCGCATTAGCACACAGACGCAACTCTCAGTTCGAATCACATAGTGGTAGAGATAGTAGAAGTATTAACAGTAATGGAGAAGATTATAGTTCGAAGATATGATTTGGGAAGTATAATCTAGTGAGATAAATTTAGAAGGAGAAAGACAGAGATGATGAGGAATTCAGAAGGTTAGTGTTGTAACGCTTGCTTGGATAATTACCGGCTAAATCCTATTGCTTAGTATTCTCTGACCACAATACACTGGATAAGTTCCCAAGAATCAAAAACACGGTTGAACAGGAAAAGATTATATTCCAAATAGCAAAGTTGAATGGAAATAAGAAGCCGAAGGTGAAGGCGAAATAGATACGTTAGTTTCTTTATAGTATTTACATAAGCTTCTGGATTGTAATTCACGTGATCGACTGTTTTAGATTTAGCCAACCAGCGTGCAGCCAACAACACGAGAACTTTCTATCCTGTTCTCCAAGAATCGATCAGGCGTTGATTGGATAGGAAATTAGCCAATCAACGCGCAGCAACGTAGTCATGCTTTAATTCCACCTATGTTCCACTAACAGTTAGAATTTGAGAACACAATGAATGAATGCACTTGTGCCATTGCAAACGATTTCGAGCCATGTCGTTCAAGGACTCTAACCATTGGTGACTTTCGTCTCGCGGAACCCAACCAAGCAGCCTACATCTACCAACATGACTCAATCCAGTTGTCGGTGACTTCATGGATTTCTGTCATGTTTTGGTTTGGCCGCCCTTAGAATACAAAATAAACTAGAATTCATGGAATTATTTAAGAAACTAAATGGTTTTCAATGATTGATTTAAAAGTTTATGTCTAGCCAGTTGAAAATTTGTTGATTTCAATGGAAAATTTACAATTCGACTAACTTATTGACAGTATATTTTGTTTGATGAAATATTCCAATAATGCATAAATTGTGAAATAAAGTGTATTACAACAGCTAGGAAATAGTATGCAATCGAATTGCTATGTATACATAAGTGTCTTCGAAGCATTGATCGTGTATCATAGGATTTGAATTGACAATTGCGTCTCAGCGCTGATGTGGTATGGCAACTTGAAATGATGTGCGTACGTACGAAGTTCTATGCTGCTATTGATTGGCTGATGTATACAGCTTGATCAAGTAATTCGCCTATCAAACTAAAACACTACACAACTATGATAAAAATTTCTCCAACTGAGTGTTTAGCTTTTTAACGTTTCACACAGAATTTTCTTCTTCCTCTTCTACTTCTTTACTACATCTATAATTCATGACTTTCATAGTAAATGCTTACTTTCATCATGAGACGTCATTATTCTTCTGAAAGCAGACTTTCTAACTCCCAGGGCACAGTTAAAATGGTTTGAATTGTATTTTCTGGTTAGCATTTTTTTTAACGAGTTAGCTTTTTTGTGGGATCGAGTCGCCAACCCCATGCCCAACCCTCCTCCTTTATCCGGACTTGGGACCGGCAGTAGCCTCACAGAGGGGCTCCAGGCGGAGTTTTCATAGTAAATGCAACCAGAAATAAATCATGAAATTTCGGTGTATACATTTCTCTATTCTAGTAGTAGCTGTTGTTGTTGTTTCTTTTAGGATTTTCATTTTCTTGTGAGGTTCAGTTTTTTTTATTACTGTCCGAGTGATGAGGTTACTTAGTATGGGGAGATGATGGATTATAGAGACCACAAATCAACTTACAAGCTCCATTGTAGCACAGTGTCCAATCAGAACACAAAGGTAGCAAGAGGATTTGACTGTCTACTGTTATCTATTTGTCATGACTTAAAAACTTATAGGTTTTTAAACATTGATTACTCGAACAGATAGTGCTATAAATAAGAAATTAAAATATGGGCGTGGTCAAGCCTAAACGATACAAAATTAAGTAATAGGTCCATAATTAAAAAACTGTAATGCTTTAGAGGTTAAGAGATAAGATTAGAATGGAGGGAATGCAAAAACATCACATAACCTATGTATTTTAATAACTTAACATTAAAAATATACATAATGTTTTATAAAACAATTCTGAAAGTTCCACATCTCCCAACTATTCACTCTCCACAATCTAGAATATTTAATTCTTTACAATCTTTTAATGAACTGTCTACTAATACAAAAACTTTACAAAACATTTTGCTTAACCATTCACTTTTCGCTTGATTCCTTAGGGAAATATACTCAAAACAAGTAGCACCTGCATTGAATTTGCATAGAAATGACCGAATTCTCTCTATCGATCCGTTGTAAAACGATGAATAGCTTTTTCAAGTGAGTTAAATTTTCATAAGCGCGTAGAAAAACACCAAATCACATATAATATACATAGAAAATATCATCTATTGTACCTGTTTCGATTGTCCACTGACAAGGATTACACGGACCATAATGACAATTTGATAGACATGTATGAAAACCAGTTGCACAAACAGATGAAAGCGGACGTTCACATAGTTGACCGCAAGGTTGAAGACTAGGATCACCACAAGTAGCAGGACGTTGAGTTTTTCCACAAGGACAACTCAAAGTAATGATTGCTGAGCATGGAGGACATGGACCAGGATGGCAAAGCCTAATAAAGGACGAAAATAGATAACGTAAACAAGTGAAGACGATTTACTGATAAACACTGGTGCAAAAACTCTCCATGTACAAAATGAAAACCAGTAGTTAAATGCAATTGCTAGGATATTCATCCAATATCCTAAGAGAATTATTGGTCAATTCCTATTGGTTAATTCCTACTGGTCAATTTTATGGTCGTCCTAGTTATCAATGTCACTTCAAATGTTGCTTCCTATTGGTCATCTTAACTGTCAGTGTCACAGACTTCGATGCTGTTTCCTATTCGACCAAAATGTAATAATACGCATTATCTGTAACGTTTTATGACCACGACCTGGTCCCGAGTCCCTAGTCAGGTATCCTGATTCCCTTCTGAACTCAGACCTCGTAATTTCTGGATGCTTGTAGAATATCACGTCTTCTTATTTTTACTAAATATGGGGGTTGGGATAATCGGATTTGAGTAGCATGTCGTGTCGCCGGATCCTCGATCCTCGCTCTCGTTTTCCGACTAGGTAAACTCGCAATAGTTCAAGCATATCAAAATGACTTGTTGACGTGCAGG